TCTTTACATCCCATAGAAATGAATGAGCTTTTGTCTCGTATTGATTGTTGGTCTGTTGGTAATGGTCTCATACTTAATCCGTTTAAATGTCAAACTGTTAATTTTAGTATGAGACATGAACGGAATCTAAACACCATTCTGAGATCCCATAATGCTTGTACCATCGGAGACTCTTTGATATACACAGTGTCGAAGGTCAATTATCTTGGTGTCACCTTTTCCTCTGATCTGTCTTGGACTTCCCACGTTTTATTGTTATCAAAGAAGGTTTTCCGTCTGACCTACTACATAAAGAGATTGCATACTCTCGGGATTACTTGTCATTTACTCTTACAATTAGTCAATTCTTGCATATTACCTATTATTCTTTACTGTTCTCCATTATTCTTTCCCGGGCTTTTGAGAAAAGGCTTTGCTGTATTGTGGAGAGTGCTGAAGGCAGTTAGCAAGATGTGTGGTGAGTCTTTCGAGGTCATAATTAATATGATTATGGATAGACATTTAAAATCATGCAAACTCCTGACAGGTGTTATTTTATCAGATACTAGCCATCTCCTTTCTCCTTGTATATCTTCTGGTAGAACGAGACGTAATTACATCAAAATCCATGCACGCAAGCAAAAGTATAAAAGTTCTATAATACCTTACCTAGTAAATATACTCTGTGACGAACAGGTTGTTAGAGTTAACCTAGTCAATAACTTGCATTCTTAACATGTCCTTAATTTTAAAAGTTGTACAGTTTTTCGGTTTGTTTTTTTTTAAAAAAACCGTTTTCATTTTTTTTGTATTTGTTACTGTTTTTTGTTGTTGTTTCGTAAGTAACTTGTTGAAATACCCTGTGCTGAGAATTCTATATTGTGCCAAAATATAATACTGAATAAAGCCGTTAATAATAATAATAATAATAATACATGAACAGTGTTAGAAAATATCGTGAATGCTGAACAAATATAACTTGTCAGCAGTTATTAAACAACATTCACCTTGCCAAATATTGCAAATCTATCCCTTGATCATTCAAATCTTCAGGTATACACATTAAAAATGAGCATTCAGTGCTCCGCGTCATAGAATTCAGGTCATGACGGCATTGATTGACGGGCTGAGTCCTGTTGACTACTAGTTTGTTCATACGTTCTATTGGGTTGTGGAGATTTTTGAATTTCGTTGAAATCACGAATTGATCTAAGTTAGACCACTATTGAAAACCTACAAGCACTGAATGGCCGTTTCTTCCTAATACGGGACTCCTCAGAATCGCCCATCCATGACCCGACATTCGGGGCTCGAACGCGGAACCTATGTCTCGCCTTAGATCCCAAATTTCAAAAACGTTTCGTACTTTTTATTCCGTGAATTCATTCACGCTTCTCAAATCATATTATGTATAATCTATTCCATAACTAGAACGAATAGTTTGACAGTAATTGAGCGCTGAGTATAGAGAAGTCATTATATGTGAAAATTATATTTGAAATATTCTCAGCGATTGGAATTAGTTAAATTCCAATCGCTGAGAATATTTCAAATATAATTTTCACATATAATATTCCATAACTGTTTATAATGTTACTACCTCTACTACTCTGCCATGATTTGTCTTAATAATATTTTTTTCTGTGTTAATACTGTGTGGCATATATGTACCGGGTTCTACGCTGCTTGTGACTGACTGCTTTCAGTCAGCTCATTATGTTACGAGATTATCAATCATTCAGTGTTATTAGTAATAACTATGTTCATTCATGACACTTGACTGAACTCGAGCAGTTAAATCTAATTTACTATACGTGAAACTGATTTGTCTAACTGAAAGATACAATTTCCGAGGTGGAAAGCCATTGAAATTGTGAAGTCTACAATTATTATTTTGTACTTAATTGAATAAGTTTTCAAATAATTTATTGTTTTTCTATGGTTGGAGGTAATCAACCCTGGGTAGCTCATTAGTACTCCCAGGCTATGAAACTGAGTGACGCAGTTCCGAATCTCAAGGGGAGCATCTATCATTTGAATATTGTAGGTGCACGTTACCGACGAGTGCCAACTAGCACGAAAACTGAGTCAATTAAGGTTTCTTGTCGACTACCCCCAACCACCCTACATTTCAACGCATTCCATGTTATATCAACTAGCTTAGACTAATGACCAGATTACAACTTAATCGATAGAATTAGATATGCAATAAAAAGGATTTGATATAAATTACATTGGTCACTACCCAGCGATCAATCAATATAACACATTGTAAATTTTGATCTCATACTTGCTATATATGGTATTATTTTATGACTATTAAGTAATTAGATTATTTATATTTACATTCATTTTATCATAAGCTCTCATTTGACCCATAAACTACTACTGTGTCGTGTGATACTGATGTCGGCAGATATCAGTAGTATGTATCACCAAACGAAAGTGGAGTGTCTGGAGGCAGAAGGTTGAGAAAATTGAAGAAAAGAGAATGAAAACAGAGAGCGATTGGTGTGGAAACGAAGGAACAACAAAGTCGGAGGCAATTAATTGACATTTTTCGAATGAAGTATTACTGTATATTTTCCAGATTTTACCATGATATTCTGTAATGTTGTATTAGAATGCACTTGGTTGTCTTCGCCTGTGTTCTCGTTCACTATACTACCATGCAATTTACTGTTCTTAGTCTATTGCCAGTTTATTATTCAGTCTTATCTACTTACAGCCACTTCTGTTGTGTTTATTTACAACTGTTATTTCGCATTTTATGGTGTGATGCCGTCTGATTTGCTTTCACATAAACTTCGTATGTCTGAAATATATTCCTTATATAGAGAGGGACGATATTGTGTTCTGGGCTCGACGGGCAGAACAAGGCGAGAGGATGTTATACCGAGGACCAATAATAGATTAGAGTTGACTCAGGGCTACTGGTGCTGGTTGGTATGTCATTAGTTAACCAAAGGATGAGATCATATAAATCAATATTCTGATTGACGTTTTTGCCACGTGATATTTGACAGGTCGTAACAGTACTCTCGTACAAAAAGGTAAATGTGAAAACTAGTAGCTGATGATTTACTTTCAGATTTCGATTGTCAGGCAACAATGGTCATTATTTATAAACTCGACGAATTTATTTATTTATCAGTGACTAAATTTAGAAATAATTTTCAGCGTTCTGCTTATAGAGTCATGACTGGCAGCATTAAAATTAATGTCTACAGTTGAAAATATGAATTTTTGTTCGAATTTCAACTCAATCGTCTAAAGATCAATTCATTTTTGTATTGGTTGTTTGAATCTTCCCGATGACGTTCGGGATTAATAGCCATTCACTTGTGCAACAGGTATGAGATTTCATTCAATTTGAACTCAGTACCTAAGTGGATAACGTAAGAGTGTTTGAAACGAATGATACTAGTTTCGAGTTGCGGAGTGAACACCAACTTTTGGATGCAGGTGCATCCTTCTGATGAGTCTCAAATTAGAAGAAATGTATATCTTAGATTTCGATCCCAGCCACATCCAATCTATCCTGTGGCAGACATCAATAAGCTAATAATTCACTGATTACCTAATCTTACAAGTGAGCTGATTAGTAAACACTGACTTTAACGTGACGGGATAATATTTAAGAACTTTACAACCCCTAAACGTCTTTTCATTATAAGTTATACTAGCGACCCCTGTAACAGTGATAACGAGGATAAAAGTCGATTCTTAGAATTCTGATTACATATGATAAGTAGAAATCATTATGTATTCAATTAATACAACTACGAGTAGAACTAATCAATATATTTCTAAATGAATCGAAATCTGAACACTGTATACAAGTAAATATTACAAAATCAAATGCGATTCAGAAAGAATGGGTTACAGATTTTAAAAAATCTTAATTCATTCAGCAACGACACAGAGTTTGTAAGGAACTACACAACGAAATTGATGGAGAGCCTTGAAGTCACTGTTAATTTAAATTTAGCCAGGGCATTGTAGTCAGAATTTCAAGAAAATTCCTCAGTTTCACTCCCGAAATGTTTTTTTGTGGAATCTGAACATTCAATCGAATTTAAAATTTGTCCAGTTAATCAGTCCTACTCCGACAAGCTCATAGGAATTAAGCACATTCTCATCTACAGAACAAAAAAGACTTGTCTGTTCATATCGCCACGAATCAATTCATGTGACAAATTGTTCATCATGAAGAGATGAATGGAAGTGAAGGCACAAATATACAATCTCTTGTGAATTAGTAAGTGATGGAGAATTGTCTTTCAACCTGTTGATGAGAGAAAAACACGATTTCCAACAAAAGTGAACGATATGTGGATCAAGTTGAAAGTATCACCGTCACACCTATGTTGCCACAGAAATATCTGACATCGTTTCTTAGGAAGAGGTGATATGACAGTAAAACAATTAAGCCTGATAATCAGTCACTAGTTTTATTAGAGAATGAATGATCTATAGTTGTCGTAATTACAAGTATGTTTAATATATTGTTTGTTGTAAGCACGTTACTTTGTCACAAAAAAGTATTTTTTTTTGTTGGACAGTCATTTTGTCTTCTGATACCTTTCCGCTTGAGGGTTCACATAAATAATTCTGTCTCATGAGCAGCGATTACTCGGTTATGTTGTGTCATCGCATTTCATTCATTCATCAATATCTGATTTGTTATTCACTTTAACAACACAAATTTCACTCACCATCGATCAGAAAATCTTAATTCATTGTTGTTTATTGCAGCGAAATTCCATTTAACCTTTCTTTCTGTTTCCTATCATTGAAATTATTTGTTCGACAATTTCGGTCAATCTAAAGTATTTCTGGACACGATAAGCACTGACAATATTTTAAGTGGACATATGCACTACGGCGATATCCAGATCTGTGTGCGAACTAATGGATAATGGTCTTTTATCATCTTTTCGTTTTAAAAATTACTCCAAAGAATATTGATTTCAATTTGTTTTTATTTTGCTCCATTGTGTTTTATTTTTATTTTTTAGGATCAAACATTTAACACTGAAGATGAATTTGAATATAGAATAACAGAAAAAGTGATAATGGATCATTCATCTTGAAAATTAAAATTGACGAACTATTCTCTCCTATTCATTTTGGTTTGATTGTCGACACACATACACACTCGCACATTCAAATGATACATGCAATCTTGTAAATAATTATTATTTGATTTCATTTTTTGCTTAATATTAAAATAAACAAAAACGCGATTATGTACAAGAGTAAACAAATAACTCCAAATTACGTTAAGATTATTGGCCACTATCATTTGTTCTCTAATGATTAATTCCGAAAGGTAATTCTGAAAGCGCTTGTGAGAAACTATGAATAAGGGAGTTGGAAAACGGTTGCGCATAATCGAGAATTGACTGAAGTCAGATATATGAACCAAGAGCTCCTAACTCAGTTGTCTAAATATTAAGCACTTGTTGCCCGACCTGAAGTTTATGTGTCCAATCACTGGTGAGGTTCTGGACACTTATTGCTAATACGTCATATATAAAGACGGAACGGGTGTCCAGCGCGCCTTGATTTTCAGTTACCATATAATACAATACCAGCGGTAAAACATTTACATAAATGAGTTTGTCCTGGGAGCCTTTCTATAAATGCCAAGGTGGTAAAGGCACCTTCTATTACATTATTCATAAAACAAACGATAGTAAGCACTATTTTGTCAACCGTCAGACAAAACAATGGAAATAACAATCCCGAGCCTGATTACGATAGTTGATTCTAGGAGTTCCAGCTAGAAGCGGTCATCAGTAGAGCTCAAGCATTGATGCCTCTAATCTCTACATTATCGTTAACTATACTTTATGCTATTAATCTGGATCATGAACTTATTTCCTCCATAAAATCTAACTTAACTGCCTATCTAATACTTTCTTTTTTTTCTAACTGTTTATACAAAATGCACTAGATAAATGGTGATTTATTTAAGTTTGCAGCTTTCCTCTCTTTCTCTCACGCGCACTAACTATAACCCAACCCATATATATATTTGCCAGCTGACTTATCTCAAAAGTATGGTCTAACATTCCATTTGTTTATAATCGTTTATTTTGATCTAGTGGGGTTGGAGATGAATAACAGAAATCTGTTTACCTATTTGACTTTCATGTTATGTTTAATTATTACGTTATTTATATATTTAGTGAATATAACCGTTTCATATTTTTGTATATGTATGTGTACATATGCATGGAGCAAGTAAATGTCAGTTTTAAACCTGGAACATCGAAAATCACACGGAGGTCAATAAATGTTAGAAATTTGCATAAATTATATCATCAAAGTTTACCCTAATATAAAACAACGAAAATGATGAGATGAATACAATAATTGCTAAAATTAGAAAAAGTTAGTGTTGCTTTTTGCAAGAATAAAAAAAGGAAGTTAGACAATATCATCATTGAATGCCATCCGGCTCGGTGGTCTAGAGGTCGAGCATCCGCACGAGAGACTTATAGGTCCTGGGTTCGAATCCTGCGAGCGGGTGCACTGCTTAGGAGTCCCATACTTGGACGAAACGGTCATCCAGTGCTTCCAGATTTTCCATAGTGGCTTAGATTTAACTGACTCATGAATTCAACTATTAACTTACTAAAAAATTTCCACCAAACCCCCTTCTGATTAACGGAATCGAATTGATGAAAATTTCGGAAAATTTTTTTACACAATTGATTTTCCTTGCAAATTTAAACAAGTTGTAAGTAATATTACCAAGATTTGACTGACTTCATAACTTCACATAAATTGAACACTGAGTTGATTATCAATGATAAGGTAATGATATAAGTATTTATAATATCCTGATGTATAGAAAATTAACATTCCTGATGTTACACAATTTAGTTTAGGTTGTTTATTAGGAGAGCGAACAGATAACCGAATCAAATAAGCACAAGTTTAAATATTTAGTTCAATCAAATACATATCAAAATAGGTCTAATTATGTCAATATCATGTTATTTTTGGTTAAGATGATCCTGTGTGAAAGTAACATCATCGTGGAATATACGATATGAAAGTTTACAGTCGAAACTTATGTGTGTGTGTTAATGTTGTGATAAATTTGTTTACTTGAATAAACGGTTTAAGCTAGATGAACACAGGGATTTAGTGTTTTATGAAACGCATCAGCTACTCACCTTTCTTTATAACTGGGAAAACCTTTCTGAATTATTTCATCATCTTTAATATCAACTCGGTGGTTATTGAAAGTGGCATGTATCGCTATTGCCAATTTGATTTGTAGATTTCACAGTTCTGCAGGATTATTATGTCTTTTATGTAGCTTAGGTATTTCTTGAAACGTGTCGAGATTTCACGAGAGGACTACAGTATAGAAAACATCACAACAGACAAAATCTAATCTCTAGACGTAATTTTGTGTAGATTTAAAAGGACCTTCTTCGTTTTTTCAAAGAAAAGCAATTAGAAGAAACAATTAGCTCTTCACTAACTAACAATCCATTAATTAATAGTTTCAAATAGCGAAAGAAATCCCTTGAGTCATTGAGAAAGCGAGAAAAATAATTCAGAGAAGAGAATTTTCCCTCATCGATGATATTATTCACTAAAGTCCATGAAAAATAGAATATTGCATCAAGTAAAAGGTAAGGTTTTCAAGTATCAAAAATGTATTATTTAAATAACTAAATACGTTACAAATGGAAGATATTTGTCAAATTGAAGAATATTTGGAGACTGAATAGGTTGTCTGTAAATATCAAATATAGAAGAAAAGCTACATAGTGATCTAACGGTTAATGAAAAAAGCTACATAATGATTTGTAGACGAGGGAAAATTATCCTATTTCACAGCTTTAAATCACAGACTCACGTTAACTAGACCATCATTAGAAACCTGGAAGAATTAGACGCCTGTCTGGTCCCAGTACGGGACTTCTCAGAGGTGTGCATCAGCGAACCCATATCCATGGGCCGAGCCCTGGACTTCTGGTCTCGCTCGCGAACGGTTAGCCCTTAGACTAGTGCTGGTATCCGATAGTGTTAATATCTAGTTCTAATAAATTCAAAATATTGCGCAACCCTAATCCATTACGTGAAATGGATAACTGTCTCACTCATTTCATGAAGAACGGAATAATTGGATAGAGATGGATGGTGGCTAGCAGTGAAATCCAATTTAGGAATCATCAGGTGGATTTACCTGCATCCCAAAGTTGATGTTCACTTTAGGATAAGTAGATTGTAGTGGCTGTCACTATGTCAAGCCCATACAGACTATTCTGCCTTCTAGACAGACCAATTCATTCATTCTTCTCAAGCCACATTTTGACCTTGTCACGTACTCTCTTATTAATCCTGACTGTTTTTATATGATCATGTGTGTGTGTATTGCTTACCCTAGCCATAACATGTCTGTAACTTATTTTTGTCTGAATATAAATATCGATTCACGCTTGGTTAGATCGAGTAGGCTCATATGCCTTCTCCAATCCATTTCGCTTCACTCTCTTCTCTTCGCTTCGTTTGTCTGGACCATCGATTCTATGCAATACATGTAATCGAAACTCATTCTCGTGTTTAACTAAATGAATTCCGTTATTCACTAACGCGAGTTGATATTTATGTATAAGGATTGACAATAGGTATAAGTCGATAACGATAATCACACGATCAAATTGGAGTCAGATATTCCATGGCCACTAAAGGATAACGCGATGGCGTCTGAGGCGAACGGCGATGGGTTCGAATCTCGCAGTAAACACCAACTTTATTATACAGCTAATGAATCCAAAATAGAACTTAACGCGCGTCCTAGATTCCACTGCCAGCCACCGTACATCTCTTTTTATAATGCTGGTGACTTAAAGCCATATTGAGGCAATCCTCACAGGATGCATATATGCCAGTAAGAGACTGATCAATTGTAGTCCTAAACGTCGACTGGAAGATCTATACAACCAATAAAAAGAATAATCAAATGTAATGATAGTTAATTAATAATTATGAATAAATAAGCAAAGTAATAACAATAGGTTATTAATACCACAGTAAAATTGAACATCTTACTTCCTACATCAAGATTAGGTTGGAATCGGGGAATAATTTTAATCTAATTCCGATGGAACACAATGAACTGGTCACTTTCTGCAAACGTTATTATCCTTGCTTAGCATGAAATATGTTTATATAGGTATTGTGCAAATACAATTGATTGGGCATTGATTACTAGGTGATCAATATCACTTTTGTTCAGTCCTCATTGCTCAGTGAATACTATCAATTAGGTTGCAATTTAGCCGCTACTATAAGTGACTCGAAATTACATGCACCATTTTGAAATGCAAAGTCAGTTAGTCAGTCAGTAACAACGTAGAACTTCGTACGTACGTACATACATCAGTTTGAGTTGCCATACAGAGATGGAATTGTGGATTCAAATCCCGTAGTGGTAGAGGTAGTAAGAGTATAAACAGTAATCGGAAAGAGTTTGAAGATGTTATTCAAGGAGTATAATCCAGTGAAACAAATTTGGAAAGAGAAAAAGGAGACAAGGAAAATTCAGGAGATTAGAACTTGGGAGAACATAAAGAGTGGATGTACCTGCGCCATTGCAAATGATTTTGAGACATGTCATTAAAGGTTTCTAACCATCGGTTGCTATCATCTCGCGGATCCCCACCAGCTATGCTACACCTATCAACATGACTCAGTCCACTTGACAGTGACTTCATGGATTTGATCCATGTTTTGTTCTGGCCGCCCCTAGCTTTCTTCCAACCTACTCTTACTCCGTAAAACATCGCTCGGTGGGGCAGTCGGTGGTTGGGAACACGTAACACGTGTTCTGCCCATCGGTCCAATCTCCTGGATTGAGAATGTATAATATGTCCATCTTTCTCTGAGATAGTTTCGCTAGCACTTGGGTTCCTAATACCGACAAGGAACTTTGGACCTAAGTTTCGGGTTATTTGACACTTGTCAGAAAAGCAAACTTCGAATATTTAGGGGTCTGATACTCCCTTTTAGGAATCCGAACATAGATTGTTACCACTGAGCTTTTGGGAGCCGCTACGTTTCC